TCCCCTTCCCATCAGCGTGGATGGACAGAGGAGTGGCAGAGCGTTGCGCTGCTAGAGCGAGGCTCTGCAGAGACTGCACTGACAGGGTGAACAGGTTCTGCAAGGACATTTTGTAATAAACAAATCCTGTATACCGAGGGATGCAGCCCTCTCACTGCTCTTATTTTGACTGTGGGGTGAATGATTAGCGCTACAGGCCTCTGTCTTGCTGGGTCCTCGGCGTAGCTACGGATGCAGCAAGAGAGAAGGCCAGGGCCACCGCTTAGCACATACACGTCCTGCACTGGAGTATTGGGAGACCAGTGGCTGAGAAAAAGACTATAGTGTGTCTGATAGTTGCCTCAATATCACTGGAACAACTCGTGACTCTGTGACCTGTTAGATGAAGCAAGCCACAGCCCGATGTGTATATTAGGCCTGTGAAAGGGCAGCTGAGTTCCCCCCCCCCCCCCAATTCAGCAACTGAAATCGCTAGGTGCCTTGGATTTCTTTAACTTTAATGATCACATGGATCAAGCATGCCACAAGTGAAGGCAGAACTGGTCTCATTGTTATGGAGGACCAGGCATCTAGCGATTATTCAGGAGGAGGTATACAAAATGGAAGCCTCTATTCTTTGTCAGGCGTCACTTATAGATATCAGTGTAGCCAGCTCAGTGGCCTGTCTGGATGGCTGACAGGCAACACAAGCCAAGGAGGCAACTCTTATTGCCAGGGTAGGCAACCTCAGCACTCTAGCTGTAATGGAACTACAACTCCCATGAGGCATTGCAAGTCTCTTACACCCACAGGCATGACTCCAGGGGCTGAAGCATGATCACCACAGCTGAAGGGCCGGTGTTCTATCGAAAGTTCGAACTTATCGAGTTCTCCAACTGCCTGACTTCCGGTTTAGTTAGAACTAAGAGGTTTGGCGAAGAAAGCTCTTCTGTACGAGAGACAGCCGCGGCATTGCCCTATACACATACAGCACAGCAATGAAGTATTAAAATGAGCTAAGATCACACTAATCCAGATCGTTATAAATCTCGGGTTCCCACTCAAGCGGCGGCCATATTGAGTGGGGCACCGGAGATTAATAACGTGCTGGATTAGTGTGATCCTAGTTCATTGTAATCATTGCTGTGATGTATGTGTATAGGGCAATGCCGCGGCTGTCGCTTGTGCAGAAGAGCTTTCTTCGCCAAACCTCTTAGTTCTAACTAAACCGGAAGTCAGGCAGTTGGAGAACTCGATAAGTTTGAACTTTCGATAGAACACCGGGGTTACCTACCCTTGCTGTTGTATGGCCACCAGGGCTGCAGTGCGGCTGCCTCCCTCTGTGTGATCAATCAAGGGACTATTGCTGCTGAGGAATGAATTATTACAAAGGTGATCAGGCGTCGGGCTGGTTTGGGTAAATGTGTGTAGCCGTTTGGGTCATAGCACTTATTATTGCCGCAACACTTTAATATTGAAAGACGTAAGCTGGCCATACGCTCAGTTTTCTCTCATTCAGCTCCGCAGGCCGAACAAAACAAAACTCGATTTCCCCATCCACATAAACAGCATGGATGAGAGAATCCCCCTCCCCACCCCCAGCCTGGCTATTGTAATCTGAGAGCAGTGGGTGCGAGCTGATCCGCCGCAGTCGCTGTTTGGATGAGATTTTTTCGACCCGCTCCCTTTGACAAAAGTCAGTCGAAAAATAGACTTTTGTGGACTGGAGGGGAGCCGACCCGGCCACACACACACTGCTCGGGTGTCATCCAAGTCAGCAGGACTCTGAAATTCCACCCATGTATGGCCAGATTTATAGTCTAAATCTCAGCAAACTGTACAAAGCACTTCCAGTTTTTCTGTAGGAATTGAAATCAATTGTTTAAAGTGGAACTACAACCTCCAATCCCTGGCAGTCTAGGAAGGCGCCATCTTGGCCTCTATTTGGATTGCAGTTGGTGGGGCTTAATGGAACTACAACCTCCAATCCCTGGCAGTCTAGGAAGGCGCCATCTTGGCCTCTATTTGGATTGCAGTTGGTGGGGCTTAATGGAAGTACAACCTCCAATCTCTGACAGTCTAGGAAGGTGCCATCTTGGCTTCTATTTGGATTGCAGTTGGTGGGGCTTAATGGAAGTACAACCTCCAATCTCTGACAGTCTAGGAAGGTGCCATCTTGGCTTCTATTTGGATTGCAGTTGGTGGGGCTTAATGGAACTACAACCTCCAATCCCTGGCAGTCTAGGAAGGCGTCATCTTGGCCTCTATTTGGATTGCAGTTGGTGGGGCTTAATGGAACTACAACCTCCAATCCCTGGCAGTCTAGGAAGGCGCCATCTTGGCCTCTATTTAGATTACATGGGCAGCACTATGGTAACTGCAATCCGCTATGACACCAGCCATTGGAGGGCTTGAAAGTTCAGTTGGGAGCTGAAACGAGCACTTTGGCATCCTTGACAGTTGTCATGCCTTAAAAGTAACTGTATTGGCAGTGATGAAATTGATGGGTAAAGTTCCTCTTGAAGGGCCGGTTCACACTGGTGTAAATAGTTGCACGCCGCAAAAACCGCCCGATACCTCTGCAACCAGAAGTGACCGACGTTGTGTACAATGAGTGTCCAAGGCCGCTCAGGCATCCCTGTTCACATGTAAACGCTCAGACGTGCGAGTATATACGTAGAGCCGCAGCCTGTCATTCATTTGTACCGGTAGCTGCTGTACACGACACCTGTCGCCCCCGGGTGCAAAAGTATTGGCCGGTTTTCTCATTGCATGGGCGTTCATGCCTGTGTGGTGCATGGGCGTTCATGCCTGTGTGGTGCATGGGCGTTCATGCCTGTGTGGTGCATGGGCGTTCATGCCTGTGCGTTCATGCCTGTGTCGTGCATGGGCCCTTAAGGTAACCATACATACTGCAAGCAGTCCAAGAGTAGTTTTTATTTTACTCTGGAGTTCAGCTTTGAAAAAGTATTATACTCTCCTCCCCTCCGGCCATGTGGCGTCTGTGAGTTCCCTCACTGGTGCTGACATCTTTGGTCATCTTGATTGGCTGTGCCAGAATGGGGCCAAGAATATGAATGCACTTTGTGTCAGAGTGCACTGATCCTTTTATTGTGATGGTGACATTTAGAAAGCACTTTTTGCAGCCCATCCTGATTAGATCTTGATTGATCAGATGGAGGGCTGACTTGGTTGCACTTTGGCCCCAACTATAGAGACTTCCACTGCTGACCCTCTTCTAAAAATGCTGATTGCACAGCTGACTTTATTACTGACCTGCATTGAGCATGCTGCAAGTGAAGGCAGAACGGATCCTCTTGTTCTGATCGTCACTAAAGCCGGTATGAGCAGAAGAGACGGTCATCTGCCATTTCTCTCTCATTCAGCAAATGGAAATACTGGACGTCTTTGGCTTTATTACCGCCCAGGATGAAGCATGCTGCAACTAGTAGAAGTGGTCACCTTGTTATGGATCGCTCACTCAGCAGGAGGCCATCTTCAGAAGGAGATTTAGAAATGGCAGTCTCTGTTTTTCTTTGCAGATATCGGGGTAACCAATCAGTGCCTGGTCTAGATGGCTGTCAGCTCTCTCTTTGGCTTGTGCTGTCTGCCATTCTGCTTCTTCCTTCTTAGACCAAGCCTGGAAGAGCTCGACCACATCAGGGGTAGGCAGCCCTTGCACATCAGGGGTAGGCAGCCCTTGCACATCAGGGGTAGGCAGCCCAAAGCATGACTCCCTGGTAGCCATCATGCCCCCCTGGGAGCCATGCTTTGTAGGTGCCAGTGCTTCAGGGCACTTGTAATTCCACAACAGCTTAGTGCCGAGGTTGCCTATCCCTTGCCGAGTCAGTGGGCTGGCTTGGTGAATAGTGCAGCCGTCTTCTTCATAGCACTTCTCTTAATGCCTAAACACTAAAAAACGAAATCCCAGTAACCCTAGAAATGACTTTTCCTGTAGTGATTGAAATTGCTTGCTGCGAGTAGTCTGAGAGCCGGTCTGTAGATAATGGCACGCACACACACGTTCGCTCGCTCGTTCTGGATCAGATCAGCCTTTAGGAACTCTTAAATTCCCAGATTTCAGGAACCCCGGGCTAAGAAAAGTTATACAAGTAACAAAACAACAAAGAATGTCACGTACTCCGAGTATGTTGAAGAGAGATGTCACCCGCACGCAAGTTCCATATCAGTGCAAATCCATTTTATTGATAAGTTGTCACGCAAATGACATGGGCTTTTCGGGGGCCGCTCAGGGTCCCCTTCATCAGGCTCAGAGATCTTCCATTGATAAAGAATTTTCATGTTGCTGACCTCCTCTATTGAAGTTTTATTGTGAGCGGTGCCAGCTGCAGCCATTACGAGTACCTGTTACTTTTGGGATATCCGGTAAGGAGTGCTGCAAGACATATGGACTCTGTACTTGGAGTATCTGACACCCACGGCAGATCAATTTTTTTTTTCTAACCCCCCATACACTGGTGGTCAGTAAAAGTGCCCTTTTATTATATTGGTGGGAGTGGATAAGGCTCCCTTACATTAGCCGCCAGTAGGATGAATGCCCTTAGTATAAGAGACCTGCCACCTGTGTGGGCACAGGAGATGGGAACCCTCTGCAGCTCGAGGAGCCTTCGGGTTTCCTGGAACCTTGGATGACAATGGCTGTTGCTGGATTTCTCATCTGATCAGTTTTGGTTGTGTCTACACACAGCTGATTTGGTGTAGCAGATATTCCCTGTAGGAATAGAATTGGCCACACGCAGTAGTTCAGCTTAGCTGTAGGTGGATTATATAAATGGAGATGTTGCCGGCACAGCTGAGGGTATCATAAGCTGCTTTTGATTGTAGATGCAAAAAAATGATCGTGGCGTTGTCTTAGATGTTAGTAAAAATCAACGTTACTGAAGTCAAAGGCAGCTTGTAGGCTTTTTAGTATATTATAAAAGGCTAGTCACCTTATTTTGGGTTTATCTGATGCTAAAGCTGGCTGCCGAGGTATTATTAGTAGCAGGAAAGGGCACCACGCTCAAGGCAAGTCCTGCCTGGGACTTCCCCTCCTGACGCATTCACCCTCGGATGGATTTGATGGTGGAGATCACCTCTATGAATAGGCCCGTCCTAGAATTCAATGCATCAGTAGGAAGATCCCAGGCAGAGGTTTTTATGTGGACGTCAAGAACAATAAAGTTTTATTGAAAGGTTTAGATGATCGGTGTGCGGCTGGTCTTTTGCAGTCCAGGTTGTATTGGGGGGGGGGGGAGGAACCCCCCCCCCCCTTACTTTTCCTCTCAAAATCTGAAATAAGGTGAAGCATCCCAACATACAGACAGACCATAGTTTGCATGAGGAAAGGTACCTGGCAAACTTTGATTGCTGTGCTCCCATGGAGAAACTTCCTCCCCCCGTGCCACTGATGACTGCCAGACAGAACAGGAAGTCAGGGTTACCTCCCCTAGGGCAACATGACCAGCAATACATACCTGACAGGTTTTTCCCATTCATCTCGATCCAGCCCTGGAAAAAAAAAAGGCTTGGGTTTTGGGATGACTACTGGCTCAACCAACAACAAGATGGCTGCCTTTGTGCAGACAGAACACTTGAAGTATGGCACTTATTGACAGAGAAGCTTCTGAAGATTGAACTCTGCTCGGCAGCCTTTGTGTTGTTGCTGTGATAGGAATGTGTAGTAGAAAGTCATATTTCATAGAACGGGTTTCCTTTACTTATGACACTTCTGGTGGCAGAGACGCGGACAGGATTGAGGCAACTATTCAGTCACGAGCTGATTTATGAGAGCTGTAGATATACATGTATTTTATTTTATTGGAAAACATAAAAACAACAAAAAAAAGACAAATACTCTTGTCCGGCACTTGTTGGCTCAGAGGTGGTTTAGAAGTCTGTGTTGACAGCAATGAATTCTGGGTATTTTACTGTTTGCCAAATGAGTGTATAGTGGAAACTGCAGAAAATAAAAATGAATTGTTTGTTACTCGGTGTTGTCACGCGGGGGGAGGGGCCGGCCGGGTCATCGCTTTGCTTTTCCCACGAGTGTGTCCGCGGTGAGAGATCAGAACTCCGGATTCCCGGCAGCCGAGGAGTTCATTGCACCGGTTTCCCCGCTCTGTGCTGGAAGACGACGTCGTTGATTCCCTCCCTGTTCCGCGCTATTTCTATGGCATAGAACTGGATCCGGGTCGCTGGAAGACAAGGAGAGGAAAGCAGGTTTACTGGGGGCCAGGGACCTCCGTCCTGCTAAAAAAATCATTGGGATGTTTAACGCTTAATTCCAGGAATATGGGGGGTGGAGAAGGTGCTACCCTTGCACGGGGCTTTATATAGTGGGGTTTAACCCTTTTTTTTTTTTTTTACCCCAGCAGCCAGTGCTCACCTCTTCTCTCCAATGCCTGGAGGAGAAATTATGTCGCATCCCTTTTCCTCCTATCACAGAAGGCCTTGTATTCTTTGAGAAAAATAGAAGGCCTTCTGTGACTGGGCAAGGGGGGATGGGGTGACTGGAGCACTTCAATGCTCGAGCTGCAGCACCCAGATTAGATTGGCGTTCTGTGAATGGGGGAGGGGCGACGAGGATACGACTGGAACACTTCAATGCTTGAGTTGCATCCCTCACTCCCTGCAGCACCCAGAAGACTGGCGTTCTGTGAATGGGCTGGCATGCTGCAAGGTAAGATTTGCAGCAGCCCTCTGCACCTAATACAGCTTTCTAATGATAATTTACATACCCAGCGCAGTGTGTAGATCAGGGGTAGCCAAACTGCAGCCCTCCAGTTGTGATGAAACTACAAGTCCCATTAGGCATTACAAGTCTCTGACAGCCACAGGCATGGCCTACCGAGGCAGATGCGTGATAGTAATTGTAGTTTCCCCACAGCTGGAGGGCCAAAGTTTGGCTTTAGGCATCATAAAATAATATACATCTTGAGTGTTAGGTGTGAGAAGAAGGCGTGGATCAGCACAGGACAAAGGGCTACATGTACCCGGTCCCCTGGGCAATTCAGCAACTATTTTTAATTGGTCACTTCTCCTTTAAGTGATTGGAAATCCAGTCTAATGCGGATCTGCTGTATAGAATGTGGACGCGTTAAATCAACGTCTCACATCTCTTGGCTCCTCCCCCCTCAGCACCTTTTATGAACAATTCATGTTACATGTGACAAGTGTACTTTAGCCATTTCCTGAGAAACATGTCCAGGTCCTGTGAACAATTCCTATTTCAATGTCACGGCCTGATGGATGGGGACACGTGCCCTTTACAGAGATCCACGTTGTCCCTACCCCCATGGGTTATACCCCAGCATTTCTAATCAGTGCCTTACGTCTTTCATGTTGGATACTGTATACCCGTCTCAGGAACCGGTACGAAGGTTCTCCAACTTCCTTTGTGCCATAGATTTCTATAGGGGAAGTTGAATTTGCTATGATTGAATTGAAGGGTTCTTGCTTCGGGTGACACTTCCACCTACATGTTGCTGTGGAGTCTAAACCAGGAGGTACAAACTACAAATACCTTCATACTTCTGTCGGTGGGAGTCATTCCTGTGCCTGTCAGAGTCTTGCAATGCCTCTTGGGAATTGTAGTTCCACCACAGCTGGAGGGCCGAGGTTGCCTACCCCTGGTCTAAACTATCCAGATTTCTATTTGCTGCTCTTCAAAACTTTACACGCAGCTGATCTTCAATACTAGCACCAGGCGAGTCCTACGGTGGCATACGCTGTAGCAGCACCACATGTCATTGCCTAATCCTACGTGGTTACATACAGCGATATATGATCATGGAGCTCGCTGCATAGGACCTACTTTAAGGCTCCGGTACAAGTCTAAAATCCAGCTCCTACGTGATGCGCAAGGCTTATAAAGTAAACTTGTGGGAGGGTTTCTGCAGCAGAGGAAGCGCCATCAATCCAGAAAGCAGTGGGCGGGACTTGGTGCTGATTGACAAGCTACAGGCTGAGCCGATAACCACACCCCCTGCAACATGCCCCACCGCAGTGCAAACAGGCATAGCCTACATGAGAGTGACAACCCTGCTCTGAATTCAGGGACAGTGCAGCATCGTTGCCACCCCAGCACAGGAATCTGCGTTCGGTGGACTTCACTGGCAGGATAAACAGGTATTTGGGGGACTAAGTGAAGCTGTAAATGCTGCATCACATAATTGTAAGTTATATGCATCAGGGGTCATTCCAAATCATCTGTATGGGCTAGGCCAGAGGTAGGCAACCTCAACACTGCAGCTGTCCTGAAACTACAAATCCCAATATGTCTCTGGAATTCATGTCTGTGGCTGACAAGAGTCTTGCAATGCCTCATGGGACTTGTAGTTCCACAACAGCTGGAGTGCTGAGGTTGCTTACCTCTGATCTAGGCCTTCCATGTACCCAGACTCCCAATATATAATAAAGGATTAGAATGTCCCTTCATCGGTCGCAGAGTGCGTCCTCTCCACTCACCGAAGATGGTGTTCTCCTCCGTGTACTCTCTGCTGCTGTCCATCCTTACCAGAGTCCCGTAGTTAAAGTCTTCTACTTCATTCTCAAACTTCATGCAGAACGGCCGCCATTTCTGCCAAAGAGAAGGTGGGAGGACGGCCGTGAGGGAAAGGAAAGGGAGGACGGCCGTGAGGGAAAGGAAAGGGAGGACGGCCGTGAGAGAAAGGAAAGGGAGGACGGCCGTGAGAGAAAGGAAAGGGAGGACGGCCGTGAGAGAAAGGAAAGGGAGGACGGCCGTGAGAGAAAAGGAAGGACGGCCATGAGAGAAAAGGAAGGACAGCCATGAGAGAAAAGGAAGGACAGCCATGAGAGAAAAGGAAGGACAGCCATGAGAGAAAAGGAAGGACAGCCATGAGAGAAAAGGAAGGACGACGGCCATGAGAGAAAGGAAGGACGACGGCCATGAGAGAAAGGAAGGACGACGGCCATGAGAGAAAGGAAGGACGACGGCCATGAGAGAAAGGAAAGAAAGGCCATGAGAGAGGACAGCCATGAGAGAAAGGAAAGAAAGAAAGAAGGCCATGAGAGAAAGGAAAGGAGGACGGCCATGAGAGAGGACAACCTGCCCCCAGATCAGAGCGTCTGGCCGCGTCCGATGGGGGTCACATGTTACCTCTTTGGCTGCTGGAGATTTCAGGTCTTCTGGATCCAGAACATCAATGCGGAGCTCAGGAAAGTCTCCTCGGAATGCTGTATAGATGACATCGTCCATCCGCGTCAGTTTCAGGTGCCGAGGCTCCACGGAGGATATGAGCTGAGGGGGGAAGAGACGTTTTACTGGAAGAAGCCGGCACTGCATGCAGGTTATCTGGGCAAGGTCCTTAAAGACACAGTCCACCTTCCGCAGAAATGTCATAAATGCATCTACATCAAATAACAAATGTGTCTATTACAATTTGCAGTGAAGCCTGCAGAGCATTGCGACCGCGATCAGTGTGTGGCGGGTGCACTGCACAGACCCCTGTATTGTTGGCCTGCGGGCCCAGGTCTGTCAAGGTCCTTAAAAGGCACAGGCAACCTTTTCCACAACCTAAACCCACATAAAATAACAAATGCATTTAATATATTTTTGCAGCTGCGAGAAGTATAACGCACAGGATCCAGCGTTGTTTACCCCCCCAGGTTCGTACAGGGGTATGGGGCTGAAGGAAGTAATGAATTACACATGTGGTGACGCTACAACACACGCTCCCTTGTGATATGTGAATCTCTCTGCAGGGGTAGCAGATGAAACAGATCCTGTGAATGACGGAGTCACACAAAGAGTTTAATTGTGCGTACACACACACACACACACACTATACTGTGCAAATGTTTTGGTCATGTGTGCTGTAATGCTGTAAAGTAAATGTTTCAGATATAAAAGTGTTAATAGTTGTTTTTTTGGGGGTTTTTTTTAAACAAATGAAAGACAAATCCAATCAATATTTGGGGAGACTCCCCCCCCCTTAGCCTTCTTCTATGTACACTTGCACACAGGGGTTGAAGGAACTCGTCAGGTTGATTGGAGAACTCGGCTCAGATCTTCTGGGGATGTCGGCTGCCTCAAATCCTTCCGTCTCTTCATGTCATCCCAGACAGACTCCATGGTGGTGAGATCCGGGCTCTTTGGAGGACTAAACCATCACTTCCAGGACTTCTTTTTCTTCTTAATGACACTGGCTGTATGTTTGGGGTCGTTGTCCTGCTGCAGATTTGGGGCCAATCACACGCCTCCCCGATGGTATGGCATTAAGGATACATATCTGCTTGTATTTCTCAGCATTGAGGACACCATTGGGACCACATCTCCAGAAATGTAGCCCTAGACTTGCCAGGAACCTCCACCATGCTTCACAGTTGCTGCAGATACTCATTATTGTACCGCTCTCCAGCCCTTCACCAAACTGCTTCCTGTTACAGCCAAATGTTTCACATTTTGACTCACCAGCCCACAGCACCTGCTGCCATTTTTCTGCACCCCACTTCCTGTTTTCATCCATAGTTGAGTCGCTTAGCCTTGTTTCCACGTCTTGGCTTTTTGTGTGCAATTCTTCCATGAAGACCACTTCTGGCCAGACTTCTCCGGACAGTAGATGGGTGTACCCGGGTCCCGCTGGTTTCCACCCGTTTGGTGCTGATGGCACTGCTGGACATCTTCTGATGTGGAAGAGAAGCATGATGTGTCTTCATCTGCTGCATTGAGTTTCCTGCGCCTACGGTCCTCAACGTTGCCCGTTTCTTTGCGCTTCTTCAAAAGAGCTTAAACAGCTCATCATGAAACCCCCGGGTCTGCCCTGAAATCTTTGCCTGGGACAGACCTTGCTCATGCTGTATAAGTACCTTGGGGGAGATTTATCAAAACTGGAGCAGACAGAAACTGGAGCAGGTGCCCATGGCAACCAATCAGCTTCTCTCTTCAGTTAAGAATTGAAAATGAGAGAGAAGCTGATTGGTTGCCATGGGCAACGGCTCCAGATTTTGATCAATTCCCCTCCTTGTGTCTTGTTGCTGTGCTCAGTCTTGCCATGGTGTATGACCTGAAACTGTCTTCCACAACCTGGCCTTAGTAGCAGAGTTTGGCTGATCCTCACCCAGGTTTAAGCCTCCCACACGGCCGTCTCGGTTTCAGTTGACGACGGAGCTTCAACCTACCTCTGGAATTGATGACCATGGGCACCGGCTCAGTAGAACTGGTTCATTATACACCTGACTCCGCCTAATCCTACAAAACCCCTGACTGTGTCCAAGTGTAAGCACTGTGCTGGTCTGAGGCTGTAGGGTAGTCACAGCAAAGATTGATTGGATTTCTCTTCTGTTCACTCATTTTGCATTTTGATAAATATAAATTATTTAAGCACTTTGTTTTCAGAAAGACTTCTCACTTCACAGCAGTGCGTCCCCGCTGCCACAACCAAGATGGCCGACGACAATAAACCTCAATGCCGGTGGCCCTTTTGGTTATGGTAGTGGGGACACACTGCGCATGCACAAGATGGCTACAGGCAATGAGGTTTGTCGGCAGCCATCTTTTTTGGTGGTATATGGCTCCGATCGACAAGCATCATCACCTGCAAGGGTGATGACGCTCGTCTTCTGGTGCCGTGTCCGTACACTCCCCGTACGGACACTTGTGCATTGTCTGTAAGGCACGTGCATGGACACGGCAACAGACAAGCGTAGAGTGCCAACGCTTGCCGCCAGGGCGCCTTTTTTGTTTTGCAATTCTATATCAATATATATCGAATAAAGGGCTGGTGTTAGGGGCCGAAAAACGTGTGCGTGCGTGTCTACCAAGTTGCATTAGGAGTAAACTAGCTCCACCCCTGAGGAACCCCAACCTTCTCCCCCCAGCCTACATTTCATATTGCACCACCCTTCTAATATTCTTCATTGCTGCGCCCCCCTAGCCCATACTTACATTGAAGTACACCTCTGCATGCTGATAGGCCTTCATGGCCCAAACCATCTCCACGTTTGGCTGCAGAAATAAAAAGCGACAGTCAGACACGGGAGACACTCACAGACCGACCATGTACAGAGTGTTCATATCTGGAGAAAACGGCTTTCATATTGTCCAATCTTGATTGGCCGGGTCAGGGTGACGTAACTCGCTTGCAATATACATGGAAGCTACTTCATCCCGGCACAGAGTCCTGCCGGCACTGTACACTGAGTTGTGCAGCACAGAATAGTAAAATATCACATTATGGCCACTAGATGGAGCTGAGGAGCATAGGGAATAAATAGTAAAATATCACATTATGGCCACTAGATGGAGCTGAGGAGCATAGGGAATAAATAGTAAAATACCACATTGTGGCCACTAGATGGAGCCGAGGAGCATAGGAAATAAATAGTAAAATACCACATTGTGGCCACTAGATGGAGCTGAGGAGCATAGGGAATAAATAGTAAAATACCACATTGTGGCCACTAGATGGAGCTGAGGAGCAAAGGGAATAAATAGTAAAATATCACATTTTATTTTTAAAAACATGAGTCGATTACCTGATAACTCTGTTTCCAGGAATCTTCCAGGACAGCCATCGAGATATAGGCTCCGCCTGCCTGCAACAGGAAACACATCAACCACATTAAATAAATAGACTCCTCCTTCCATCCCAAGTCAGTAACCTCTAGGACCGAAGGCTACCCCATGCACAAAAGTATCCCCTCCTTCATCCAACCTCGGATGCCACCTGGATACACACCAAGGGCGGGGACTGGCTGTCCTGGAAGATTCCTGGAAACAGAGTTATCAGGTAATCAACTCATGTTTTCCCCAGTCATCTTCCAGGACAGCCATCGAGAGGATCAGTGAGGACAAATCTTATCTCCTAGGGCGGGACCACAGCCTGCAGGACTTTCCTGCCAAACTTGTTGAGTCATAAGGTCCAGCCTGTAGTGCCTGACGAATGTCTGGAAGCTGGACCACGTGGCTGCTCTGCAGATCTGCCCAGGACGTAGCCCATGCTCGAGTCGAGTGTGCCGTGAGCGAACCTGGCAGCACCAAGCCCTGTGCTTTGTAGGTGTCAGTTATGGCCATTTGAATCCACCTGGCAATAGTGCTTTTACTGGCCCTGTTCCCCCTAGTGGGGCCCCCAAACGTAACAAAGAGGCGGGACGACTGCCGCCAAGGTTTTGTGACTTGG